GTTGCCTTCATCTCGTCTCCGAGACAATTTAATCCTTTTGCGTTGTGCGATTGTAACTCGCTTAGAGGCTACCGGCGGACTGTTATTGTTTTCTTGGGACTACCAGAGTGCGTTTGATCTTTTAATTCAGTATCAAAGCCCGGCGCTCAGTCGTTGCTTTGTCTTGCTTGGACCACCGTTCATTATTGTCCGGCCAAACTGATCAATTCATTCCAAGCATTTTGCTTTGACCACTGGCTCTAGAAAACCGTTCAAATACTCTTAGTTCGCCCACGTACCCCCATATCTCAGCCACAAACTTGACCCAAGCATGAGAAAGTTTTTCTGCGCTCATAATTCTCATCAAAGAAATTTCATGCGATTGACATCTGTCATCTTGAGGACTCACGGGAGCCTTTTCCATGAACGTTTCTCTAGGCTCTCGTATGGCTCTTCACCAGTTATCCTCTCGGAGATTTGCTGGATTTTCAGAACACGGAAAACCCTCTTCATCGCGAATGAAACACCTGCGGAACACTCGTCTAATTCCAGTACACAATGCGACTGCAGTCCTTCCTCGTCAGCGAATGCTGATTGTTCTCCGGTGTCTGAAGCTCATTCGCCGTTGGTCTCCGTACCCTTAAAGGTCGATGTCTCCACACAAACCGAAGAACATCCTTCGAGCAAAGAATTTTCAACGATGCACCCGCTGTTGTCTACTAGTGCGGAGCGAGCCTGTTCTCCTTTAGGGACCCCTACAGAACCAGCTTCTCCAAGTTCAGCGTATTCCTTATCGGATGATGAATATGAAGAGTATAACATGGAAGCCTCGAACGTGCCCGAAGCTGTCAGTCGTAGTACAATGCAGGACCTGGCCCTTACCGATTTACTGACAATAATCATCTTCCCGACCCACGTCAAAGCCAACTGTAAGTTCATTCCGCTGTTTTACAAAGCCGCATCGGTACTGACCTCGTCGTTTGCAATGGTATCTAGTCTATGATAACGACGAAGAGCTAGAATTTCGGCATCGAATCTCAGAGCTTTTGACAGATTACAAGCCTTTAACATCTGCTCTATTTCTGGCGCTGTCTTATATGGAAAGGCTCACGAACAGAATCAATACCTTGTCTTCGTTCTACTGGTGGCTGATATTATGTCTCCTGTACGCACACCAAATCCTGGACGACTTTTCTACGTTTAAAGAGAGACATGTGTAGGTTTGTTTTCTTTATTTCATCTTTCCTGGCTGACTTCTTTATTACAGTGAACAGTTTATGAACATCGACGCCTCGTTCTTCGAAAAGCGTCAAAGAGCTGGATACAAAGCCCTTGCCTACGATCTCCGCATCTCCCAAGTAGACTGGGTGTACTTTTTGGACCATATCCGGCGTATGAGCGTCGGAGGCTTGTCTCCAGCCTCAACAGAAGCGATCCTTCAGCTTATAGAGAAGTCGCTGCCTATCCCTGGGAAGTCCCCCACGGATGAAATACTGAACCCGCTGCATCGCTTGGAGAAGGCTTTAGAACTGGATAGGGATTCTTTGAACGCTAGATTATGAGGGCAGGAACGGTTCGAGTAATGTATAATAGGCACAATGATGATCAAAGAGACCGCACCCTTTCGTTTTCTGATCTTCCACCGATATGGTCTGACCGCGTCTGAACCGTCCGCTCGCGATGTAGTGGTTTTCTAAAGTGGTACGATGAAACTCAGACTCATCTTCCTGGCCACCGGCGTCGAACCTTTCCTTGTCATATCGATCAGACACGATTGAGGATCGATGCACAGCCACTGTTTGTCTTCTCTCATCCACCATGTCTCAGTCCTTGCTAGAGTCAGCTTCCGAGTTCCTCGCCAGATGCAGATCCAACAATGTCCCCATAACACGTCGCGACATATCCGACCTAAAGTATCTTATGATCAAGACTCGCTGGCAGGCTTTATTCCGTAGCTTCACTACTGCTAACGAACTCAATCAGCCCTTGAAGCTCTTGCAATATCAAGGATCGCTACTTTCCCCAGCCCGCCGACTTCCACCAGAACTCTTGACCGAAATCTTCACCTTCATCGTTAAAGAAAACCCAATGACATATGGGGATAATCATTTGCCTGTCACGAGGCTCGATGCGTTTGGCCTATCGCAAGTTTGTTGTTGGTGGCGCACCTTGGTTGTCTCACAACCTATTCTCTGGTCTTTCATCAGCGTCAACTTATCCGGGAGTTTCTCTATCAAAGGGAAGGTGTTCTTCAGGAAATGCGTCATTCCGCGTTCAGGATCCACTCCTTTAAGTATTACCTTGGAATTTTCTGATACTCAACCAGATCTCGAGGGTCGCGACATCTTGAACGATTTGGTCACACAGGCATATAGGTGGAAGCACCTGAGGCTCCTAATCCTCCCTCGGTGTGGCATGCGTCATCTTGAAAATGCACTCATGGCCAGACGCGCTCTCACACATCCCAGAGCTGCCAACACTTCGCCTTTGCCTCTTCTTGAGAGCTTGACGATTATATCGATTGATTACATGTCGCTGGCCCACGTCAAATCATTCGTTTATTGCCCTCGTCTCAAAGAGCTTCACATAACAGGCAACTCTGTTACCAGCGCCTCCGTTACCAGTACCTCCGTCACCATCTTCTCCACCACCATCTCCAACCCCGTCACCACCTTCACTACCGACTTCGCCATCATCACCACCTCCTTTTTGGATACAATTAACACTCAGAACTTAATTATCCTGGAAATCGCAGCGTTGGGTTGCCCGATCGTTGACCTACTCAAGGCATGTCCGTCATTGCAAACCTTGACAATGGGGGCACTCCGCAGCCGTTTCTGGGCTCCGCTGCCAGAATGCTTCTCCCATATACATCTAACAACCTTAAACCTTCGCTGTATCGACGATTATTTTCCAAAGGATGTCTGGCAATCTGTTCGATTGCCCAATCTAGCCTATCTGGATGTTGTAACGTTTCGGACGAGGGCTCATACCGATCAACCATTCTCCCCCGTGTCCAAGCTTCATATTAAACCCATTTTCGACGCATTGATGAATATGCTCATTATCTCAGGCTGTTACTTGCAAAAGGTTTCCATCCAAGAGGAGCGAATAGAAACCCTTCTAGACTACGCCGTTTCGCGAAATTTTTTGGAAGAGGTTCCTATGAGTCCAACTGGAGTGCTGTTCTTGAATCAAGTTCTTTGGACTCGGGATTCATTCACTGGAAGACTATGTGCAGATATGGTCTGGGCTGACGAAGTTCGTGAAAAAAGAGTGATTACTATCCCTCCCAGTCTACATATAATCGAGTAGCGCCGGCAAGCGGCAAGGCCCGCTACCTCCAATCGCAGTCTGCAAATTCTTGAAGTGTGATTTATTGTATTTGTATAAGAATAGCAGAAGAAGTATAGTAACTGACTAGAGACACCAGTAATAGGCAATAATTACAACATAGCGAAGAACGGTACCTAGATGGGTACAATTCGCTCGAGCTTGGCTCGAGCCCAAGAATCTGCAAACTGAGATCCAAGAACTATGTCCACCCCTGGAGGACATTCACACAGAGTAAAAGGTAGAGACGTCGTGAACACGTTGTAAGCCGTAGAGTAGGTAACGCGTAAGAACGTCGAAGGCGACGGAAAGGGCAAGCCGTTGCCTCGAAATAGTGAATATGATATAAAAGAAACTAGGATTTTGACTATCCTGATAGACGTTGGGGTTGCGGAAAGAATGGCCACCTACATCGAACGAAAATACCATTGTTGAAGCAAAGAAACAAATACGATTAGTGGCTACCATCGGCTTGCAGGCAATCGAGAGACGCCGATGGGCCGAAACATCGAATTTAACTGAATATATTACTGACCAAGATTGTGTATAGATGAGCCAATGATGGTGTAGGAACGTAAGACAGCCGAGCGGCGCCATGTGGCTACCCAGAGTAAGAACAGATTTCGAAGATCCCTGCCAAAAATGATAAATTTGAGTCCTACCAAGACCCTCTACCTAAAGGTAGCGGGAAAACTCTGGTCTGATAAGTAGAACAATAATATTAATGTTCAGCGTATATGTGTATATACCATGAAGAAAAATGTGCGTTTCTCCAACTTCGATCCTTGCTTCGCTGTTGTCTTTAGGACGTGGAGAGCTATAAGTTTTTGGTATCCCTTCGAGCTTCGAGTTTTAGTCTAGGTCCACCCCGATTCTGAATGACAGCAAAGTAGTGAGAATATGTTCTTTTTGAGTCTACTTACTTAATCTTGTCGACAAAGGAGGGAGAGGCAAAAATGTACATGTACATATTTCGCTCCAACAGACCGGCGTTCAGATCAGCTTCGCGCACTAATCAGCTTTGATGAAAGCCTCATGGCCTGTCGGTCGCAGTCACTTGAATTTATTGATCTATTCTAAAGAAGACTAATGGAACCTGCACAAGTGAAATCCAAACGACAATTAAAATATTCTCAAAAGATATTTGTATCTAACATAGATGGAGGGAACGCACTGCGCAGGGGGAACGCGAAACGGGATGATAGGTGAATTGCCGGACCCTGAGCGCTGAGCACACACAAGAAGAATGTGTGAATAAGCCAGTGGAGAGTAGAAGGCTGCAGCAGGAAGCAGGTGGGGAGGAGGATCGAAAGACATACTCAAAAAGGAGTAGAAGTCGAGTACAAGATGAATCTTCAGAAGGGAGAAGGATACGCTGGCGAGGTTGCGGAAGAACAGGTGAGATGGGTGAATACAAAGGACAACTGAAACTCGAGGAGAAGAGGAGAGATACAGAAGCCGTGGACATTGTCACAAACTTTTTTTGGACTTGCAGGCTTCCACGTTTCTTCAGAGCATCAAGCATTATTTACCAAATGATCCCCAGCCGGAGCCTGGGAAGTGTCGTCCGCTTTGATAATAGCCTTATCCACCAGATATGGACGACGCTGGGGGCAAACGCTGGATGCAAAAAGTATCGTTAGTTCATCTTCATCTGCAAAACGTAGACTTATTCTCGTCACTATAAGTAGCAGCAACTTGTTTCGATCAAGTGACCTCGGGGTAATACAGATTCCATCAAACCATTTTATGGGCCCCGCGCGCTACCACTGCGCCATGCTGCTATTGAGTATACCCAGAAGACATGTGAGCAGTAAGTATATAATGAATTAGTAGACAATGCAAGAATAAGGGACTCTGGGACTGGGATTAACTCCACCAAGTAGCTTCTAATTCAAGGAAATTGTTTCGTACTCTATGCTTATTCCTTACAGTCGGCTTCCATCAGCAGGCAGACGGAAGAATACGCCAATGACTGGGCTACTGGACAACGAGAACTACTCTTCCACTTCATCAAACGACATGCGCAAATTCCGGCACATTTTTAGCGTGCTACCCCCGATGGAGAAGAAAGATGACGAAGAGCAGTGACGAGCAGGAGCGGAGATCGGGTATTGGTCCCGAGTTTCCGACGCCCGACGTGCTTGAAGTCAAGCCTTTTACCAGGACGATACCTGCCAAGAGCTAACAACACACCGCTGAGGATGAAACTGTCGAGAAAGAAACCCTCCCGTCAAGATAGACTGCCGGAATGAATGCGCTGAGTAGGCGGAGGCTGGACATCTTTCTAAGGTTGAAGTTTTTGAGGATTAACATACGACTATCTTATGGTGTTCAATACGGTCTGTCCACCCGTTCCTGTTTCGGTTTTTAAGTCATGCGACTGGTCGTGAGATGTCTTTTTAGGACCCAGTTCCCGGGCGGCCACCGCGACAGAGGAGGACAAAGATTGAAATTGAGACGAACCCATCCTGAATATATTTCGCAGGAGGATAGGCAATAAACGCACACGATTGGTAGTTGACCTTCTTCCTTGATCCGCACGACGAATAACGATGGAGGGTAGTATTACATAGTAATCTGGAACATTCAGAACGATACTTTATCTACTTTCCATCCATGTTGCATCTGAAGCGCTAAAGCGCTAAAGGTCTGAAGAAGTGACCAACTTATTACATGTACTAAAAGCAATAAAGAACAATAAACGCACCATTCTCCGTGGCTCAAGGTCATCTAAAACCGCAATCATCGAAAGGATTGTGTTTCCAAAAATTATCTTGCCGCCATATAACTCTCCGACTTGTCCAGCCTCGGATATCAAGATACACAAGAAAGCGCCATCGTCGTACCATTATTCGTTGTCACACGACAGAAACATGCTTCAGTAAGTTTGAATACGGGTGACATCAAAGCGGTTTAGTACCACAGCGGTCTAGTACCACGGTATGCTTTGACTCTCCATGCAAACAGCCTTCTGAAGCTCTTTTTGTCTTGGCCAACCTGGTGCTCAGATGGACGCAATTGGCATCCACAAAGGATGCGACCAATGTCGATAATTGGACGAGATGGAGGTTTCGACGAACGTTTATCTAAGCGATTGGCGCACGGGTCAAAGCTACGTTTACCAGTCGTGACGCGTGAGTCATTAGTGAATGCATGCAAGGGCATATATTCGTGCTCTTGTGCGACTGAACAATCCACTAGCCATCTACTCTCATGCTTTTCCAGGTTTGGCCACTGCGAGAACGCTTGGGAACGGCGCTGTATCAGTCGCCGTGGGAATGCTAATGAGCGCCTACAATGTTCGACGACGACCAACTACTACCTCCCTGGTCATTTCCTCATAAATCGGATATTCGAATTGCGTTCTCCTTTGTTGTGATGGCTCCGCATACTCCCTGGAAGGACACTCCTGAGATCCAAGATTTGGAATTTGCTTTAGGAGAGTGAGTAATTAGCCCCTTTATTTAAACACAGAATCTAAGATGGCATTCAGTCTCGAAAAAACCATTCGAAAGCTCCATGAAACCAATAAATGGTTCATCCCGCGACTCTGGTTACCCGACTATAATCTATTCTGGCAAAAATTATTATATCTTTATAATTCCAAAAGGGTATTTTTCCGTTCGATATGATTCAATGTTTGTCTTATCTACCACTAAACAGAGATTCAACTGTGCCTATAATATTGATGGGTGGGAAAATATACATCTAGGCATGGGCTCGAGGGAAGCTACACCTGCTCAGTGGAACATGCGTGCAAAGATGACTCGATCGCGCAGATTGTGCTGTTACTATCCACCTTTAGCAGAAGGAGGTCGTTTCATCACCTTTCCTCCGAACACAACGTCAGCTCCAATATCTAGTCGTCTTATTTCACTTCTCCCCATGGACGACTCGTTCCGTTCCGATGACCCTGCCAAGGTTATTCTGACGCCTTGTATTCCGGAACGCCTGCGCGCTACACTGGGCTTTTCCTATGATGGACATACTCATAGTACCCACCCCTCACCAAGGAGCTCCAGTATGTCTCTCCCTACATCCAATGTTTGTTCAAAATGCAAACAAACTCTGCTGCCGCATTCCAACCTCACCTCGTCGTCCCCTCCTCCTTCTTTGTCCCCTCCCCCTCCCCCACCCCCTCAGTATACTGCCTCTCCTCCTCCCCCACCCCTTCAATATACTGCCTCTCCTTCTGCCTCTTCAGGCATTGAAGTAACGTATGATTTCATCGATGTAAACATTTCACTCAACTTTTGACATTGCACAATATGCCACTATTTACTTTCACCTTCAACCTTTGCGCCAGTCTTAATATCACCAAGTTTCAATTTCGAGAAGAGCATTCAAATGACTATTATTACAAGCAGTTTCCATTTGTCATGTGCAAAGATTCGGCAAAATAAATTAATTGCACTGGCTTTCTCAAAGCGTGATTCAAGACTAGCGGCGCACACTTGGAGCTGTGCGACATATCCCTCGACATCAACAACGCAAACGCTTATTCAAAGACTGCTAGCGCCACGCAAATTCCTCATTAGACATCTAACTTCGAAAAGAGAGAGAGAAATTTGTCCATTGCAGCTGCCTATCATAATCGGTATACGATGTATGTAAACGAATGGGAGCGCCGAAGTATGGCCAAGTGATACTAAGTAAGAAGATACCATTACTCGCGTATGCGAGAGTGCAAGGAAACGGGAGAGGCAGAAGATAGACAAAGTGGTTCCATGGCAATGGATGTAGATATAAGGGACTACTCGTAAAGAAAGGCACGGACTATTCCAGAATGCATGCAGATGTTCGTTAAAGGAGGGAAATAACTCAGTGGAGGAGACCAATAGCCGCTACACCAGCGATCGTCGAGACGAGAGCTATAGCCTCTGTGAGGCCAGTGAAGACACGAGCACCGGAAACAGCGGCATTGCTGTTACCTGAACCTGAAGAAGACTCTGAGCTGCCTGATGATCCAGATGATCCTGAATTACCACTACCTGATGATCCTGAGCTGCCTGGTGCGCCGGTCGCGCCAGCTCCTGCGGCAGTTCCGGTGCCAGAGGCTCCTGGTGCGCCTGTTGCGGCAGCAGCGTCAGTTATTCCGAGTGATGCGAGGGCAATTCCGTTGGAAATGGTAGGGACAGTGACACAGCTTGATGAACTAGGGATAAACTGCACAGTGGAGGGAGTAACAAGGTCACCGATCGTGTATGTGACGCCGCTAACTTCACCAGTCCAGTACTGAGCGAAGGAAGAGAAAGAGGTCTATAAAGAAAGAGTTAGAATGGATATTGTCAATATGGAGCGCGATGATACATACCGTTCCTTCGTTTACACCCTCGACGTACCAACCAGGAGGGTAAGCAACGTCGGCCTCACAGGTTTCAAAGGTGCCGTTGAAGTCGTAGTTTCCGGGCATGACAAAGTTGCAACCCATTTCGTCAAGCTCGTGCCAGCACATGGCAGCGGACGAGTAGGTTTCGTTAGCCCATGTACAAGCACGGAAACAGACCATCTCGTAGTCGATGTACAACTAGAATGAAAGCAATTTAAAATGCGGAAATTACGCTAGAGCCGAAAAGCTTACCATCCATTCAGCAACATTGATCGACTGGCCGTCAATAGTCATGTTGGTGGTAACATTTCCACCGACGGGGTTACCAGCACCAGTGGCACCGTGGGGGTCGAGCTCACCTCCGTAGTCACCCGGAGGAATGTTGACGTTGGTGAAGTTACCGTAGGCCATAATTTGGACGTACATGTCTGGTGGGGAAAAAAACGAATCAGCGACTGGAAAATGAAGAAGGGATAGATAACATGTACCTGTCTTCAAGAGAGAGACACCGGTAACAGTACCATCAGGAATGACACGAGCGTTGTTTCTGGGTTGAGTACACCATGCAACCTCGAAGGTCTCAGAGTCAGAAATGTTCTGTTCTGTGGGGGGACCAAAGATACACCAGTCGTCGACGGAGTTAATTGTGAGTAAACGAGCAAGAGATGTCTGGTTAATGGCGGTTCCAACGGTGGTTCGGGAGGGTTGGTTACACCCATGGTTCCAGTGGCTACAACTCCTTCGGGGTAGGAGGCCGTCGACTGCGCAAGGGCAGCCGCGGCAAAAAGCAGAGTAGAGGCGAGAGCAAGCATTTTCGAATGGAATTATGAGAACCTTTCTGTTAAACGAATGTCGAGTTGGGGAGAGGGATAATTTTTTCTAAGAGAAAAGGCCCAAAGGCTGAGATGATGGTGGAAGAGAAGAAAGAACTAATAATATTAGCGTACACTGCCAACATTTTAAATCCTCTCTTTGCTATTTTAAGCTCGTATACATAGTATACTTGTTGATCTCCGTTGCTACAATCTAAAAATAGATACTTCCGCACGACTGTCTTTTCTCTACATAACGAGCCCGTAGATATTTTGCACTCGTTCCATGGTTGCTATGTATAATTCCAACGAGCTCAGCTCTGAGCTGCTCCCCGACCCCCAGTCGCGTTTTTGCCAAATGAAACAGATAACAAGTGTAATTATAAGTGAGGTTCCCGCAGTATCTTTACGTGCCTGAGTCCTACTGAAGCGAGACGTCGAGCTCGTCCCTGCGTGAAAACGTTGTCAACTTTACATCTTTCTAGCATTGGTATGCGACTTTGGACGAAAGTACGACGAAAATGAGATATCTTATCATTACTTACACCCGATGCTTAGTAGAGCATAGACATCAGCATCGCCCAGCTTATCCTACATATCAAGGGGCTCATTAAAAGAACATCAAGCATGAGCGAACACG